GAAATTGTTAATTTGGGGGCTAATGTCTTTGAACATAGAGGTTCTGTATGTCTGTCACGACTAATAGCCATTGGTAAGCCTTTCTACTATGAATTTGCCCATCAGTTTTCGGGACCATAAAGAAGGCTGATCGCCGAAGAATTGATGCTTTTGAATTATGGTGCTGGAGGAGACTCTTGCGAGTCCCATGGACTGCAAGAAGATCAAACCTATCCATTCTGAAGGAAATCAGACCTGAATGCTCACTGGAAGGACAGATCCTGAAGCTGAGGCTCCAGTACTTTGGCCACCTCATAAGAAGAGAAGACTCCCTGGAAAAGACCCTCATGTTGGGAAAGATTGAGGGCACAAGGAGAAGGGGACGACAGAGGACAAGATGGTTGGATAGTGTTCTCAAAGCTACCAGCATGAGTTTGACCAAACTGCGGGGGGCAGTGGAAGACAGGAGTGCCTGGCGTGCTCTGGTCCATGGGGTCATGAAGAGTCAGACATGACTAAACGACTAAACAACAACAACAAAAAGCCAGTGTGAGCTATCACCACATCCGGTGGGAGAACATATTGCAGCTTAACTGGTTCAAACAGCTCCTGTAAAGTTAGAGTCAGATCTGGAATGCCAGAGCTGAAATCCTAACTCTGCAAGCAGCATGATGGGTGATAGTGGTTTACTCACTGAAGTCATTTCCTCAGCTCTCTGCCTGTAAGACAGAAATACTAGCGGTCAGTGTTGAAAGACCAGTGTCAAGACATAAGGCTTACAAAGCAATCTGTAGACTAAATATCATTATTCATTATAATCATTAGCATCATCATTATACAGTTTGAGTTTCGAAGTTTGGTTTGCAAACGTTAATCCTGGATGCCTGTCAGACTGTGCTGAAGCAGGACCGTTCTTTGCTACTCACTGTCCATATAGGGCCATGGGAAGCAGAATGAAAATTGGGTCACATTTCAAACTAGCTTTGACGTTCAGTGGGAGCCAAGGAGGCCTCCCTAGGGATTAAAAGGAAAATATTAAAAGAAAGCAGCAAACATGATAACAGGCTTCAGGGCCAACTCTGGGGTGGTGGAAACAGGGTTGGTCATTTTCTGGGGCCCCAGAGGGCCCACGATGCTGACCTCATCACTCTTTCCACTTGGCACAGAGTGTCAAAGATGATCACATGTGGCCTAAAAGAAATCTCAGTTTGCATGACCCACCTCTTCCATGTTAGAGAGGTTCATTGAAGGTACCATACTAAAGGGCCTGCAAAACCCTGAACCAAAGGAGCCAAGTCCTAGAGGCCAAGGGGACTTCGCCCCCATAACATATTTGAGGGGGCCACCTTCAAAGATGATGGGTAATGCCATTCAAATGGTGTACGTACACCATGTCGTGTGATCGATTATGTGGGGAGAGGCTTACGTGCCCCCCATATTTTATTCAAATTGGCACCCCTGCCCTGGACCCAACCTTGCTAGTCTGACAATGCTAAGCTTGTGGGTGCTCAGCTTAAGGAAAGAATAGAAATGTGATCTCTCAGCTTTCAAATAATTCTAACTGGTTGTTTCCAAGAGCAAATGCAGTTTGTTTGCTTGGGTGTTTTTTGATTTATATAGAAAGGACAAGGGGAGAATTGATAGTGGCAGGTCGGTTTCTTAGGGACAGCTGATTTCTCACTAAGCTGAGTTGCTGCAGCAGAGGCCTGGCGTAGACCGATGTCCTAAGCCGGAGTTTGAGGAACCTTTTCTGGACTGAGGTCTACAATCCTTCATGGGGAGCCTTCCAGGGACCACATGCCAGTGATAGACAGGGCCAGACACAAAAACAAGTGGATAAATGGATGTTACTTTGTATTTTCTGGTCACACATAAACCATACACTCCAACTTTCTCTGATGAAATTAGACATCCTATTCCATCCTTCTTCTTCTTCTTCTTCTTCTTCTTCTTCTTCTTCTTCTTCTTCTCACCCTCCCCCCATTCATCTGACTGGATTGCCCCAGGCACTCTGGCCAGCTTCCAACATATAATAAAACATCAAACATTTAAAAACTTCCCTCTACACAGGCTGCCTTCAGATGTCTTTTAATGGTTGTATAGTTACTTATTTCCTGGGCTCGGGGGCTGCATAACTCCATTCCCTCCAACATTTCTGCAATGAAAATAGAGATGTCCTAAGGAAAAGCAGGACATTCCAGGATCAAATTAGAAATTGGGACAGCTTCTGTAAATTCAGGACTGTCCCCACAAAACAGGGACATTTGGAGGGTCTTCATAAACCAGGTGGTGCTACATGCTCTCACACATTTCCATCCTGCATCCAGGCACAGAGTAGGTATTATCACAGTTCAATGACACATTCCAGCCAGGTAAAAGCACTCAATGAGGGTGCACAGCCAAGCTGGTGTAGATGTGGCCTGGGGAAGGGGCATGGGCTAGAGAGATAAGCCCAGAAGGCCACATTCAGCCCCCAGGTCTGATGTTCCTCACCCCTATCTCAAGTACTGCTTAGGCACCATAGTTTTTCCCATTCCCCAGTGCCTTTGTAGAGCCTTGAAGGGCAAAGCCGCAATCATCCTGCAGCCCGCCCTGATAGACTGAGAATGCCAAGCTTTGGGGTTCAGTCTTGTTGGGCCTGCTGTGCTGGATTTTGCTCTTGCAGAAGAACATTCCCAAGGAGCCTGAATTCCAGTTCAGCCACGCAACCTGTGCCATGACCGATTTGAATCCTCAACATTCTTTGCCCCTGAATTAAGCCCTCTAAGCAAACAAAAAACCAAAATAAGTAATGCAGAGTTTGGCTTTTGAGTGTGGAAAACCTGCACTGATTCCACTGCCCCAGATGAAGTGATTCGTGAAATGATTTATGAAAAAGCCACAAGCTACAGACTAAATTTATTGAGTCCCTTTTTTATCTTTAAAAAAACAACAGCCAACAAGCCTTGTTTAATCTGTGTTCTAATTTTAGGTGCACTTCGCTGGTTTTTTCATTTTTAAAAATGTGTGGTTTTTTGTAATCTGACTATGCAAAGGCAGTTCCTAATAAAACATGGATTTCTTTGCTGTCCAGCTAATATGTGGGAAATGGCTTTAGCCTGTCATCCTGTTTTGCCAACTAACTCCACAGGTTCTTTAAAGGATTGTTGGTAGTCAATGTATGAGGGGAAATATATTTTTATTTGAACAGAGGAAGAAAACCTCCTCAAACAGCAGCAACAACATAAAGCCTCAAACAGTAAACCCTACAATTAGAAAGAACCCCAAAGGAACAATTGCCACACCAGACCTTTACTTTGGCCACCTCATGATAAGAGAAGACTCCCTGGAAAAGACCCTGAGGCTGGGAAAGATTGAGGGCACAAGGAGAAGGGGATGACAGAGGACGTGATGGTTGGACAGTGTCCTCAAAGCTACTAACATGAGTTTGACCAAACTGCGGGAGGAAGTGGATGACATGCTGGTGTGTTCTGGTCCATGGGGTCATGAAGAGTTGGACATGACTAAACAAGAAGACCTTCACCCACATACAACACTAGAACTGTAGGCAAACTCAGCAGTGTTTGGTCCATCTTCCTCTTCCTACTCAACCACATTGCCCCACACTTTTTGTACCTGCCTCAACCAGGCACAGCTGGATATCTCCATGGCTGGCACCTATGGCAATTAGGGCTCCTAATCTGAGCAATCCAGCCCAGCTGGGCCACCCTCAAGGGTAGGAATGGTCCTGCGAGGTCTCACAGGAAAGGTCGGCTGTGTAAGGCCAAACCTATACCTCCTTGGCTCCCCCCACCCCTCATTTTCCACTGCACATCCTACAGCCATCATGGCTGAAAGCAGCTCGGTCGAGAGAACAAATAAATGCATTTTACCTTTGTGAAAGGCCAGGCCATTTCGCCGACAGGAAGCTGGTTATTTTTGTACTGTGGTCTGTTTAACGGAGACAAAGTTGGTTATTTTTGTACTATGGTCTCTGGACAAAGGAAGGTTTCATAAGAGAGGCCACTTTGCTCAACAGGTTTCTTCAGTATCCTGAGCCAAGCCTGAAAGCAGGAATTGGTTCTGGGATCTGTTTTCCTTCATTCGCCACAAAAATACTCCCCATTCATATCTATCCCTGGAGTTGCAAATGACCCAATATTTTGAGTGAAATGAAACTGAGACATTGGGAATTCTCAGTATTGGATAACTATTTTTGCGCGGGGGGGGGGGGAAGATTCAGATGACATCTACCTGTGCAGAGGAATGCATGAGGGGGGTCACAAGGCATCATGGGTTAGCTTCTCCCACCCTCATACATAGAGCGCACATGCTTCTTCTCAGTTTTCCCTCAGTTTCTCATTTTTCCCATCTTGAGTTCAATTATCCACATTTCTGCATCACTTTCCATCTTTTTAAAAAGTCCTCATTAAAATTTGTCAGCATTTGAGTGTTTATTTTTCTTAATAGGCACATTTTAATATGCAATTATTCCTGATATACAGTACATATTTTCACAAGCAATTCCCCCCCCCATATAATGCATTTCTGTATATTGTGTTCAGCAGTGTATGCATATGCCCACATTGTCTCTTAGTAGATCTATTCTTGTACACATTACATGGTTGAAGAAACCCTCTGCTTGGGGATGAGGCGGATACAGAGAAGGACAAAGGACTGAGCCAGGAAAACAAGTATTGTTATTGTTACTGCAAGGATGCTTCATCATAGCCTCAAAGTCAATAGGTCCAAGAGCAAACTTCTCATCTTTCCTCCCAGTCCTTCCCCTCGTTGTATATTCTCTGCAATCTCAGTAAAATAAATCAAACACAGCAAGACCATGCCACTCATTCAAGGCACACACAGCTGTAAATGCACAACATCAGAGCCATGGACTGTGTGCAAATCTATTAAAGCAGAGTCTATTGAAGCTTGTGAAAGCAGTTCATTGTAGGGTCAGAGTAGTAGGGAAAAGGCCAGGAACCCTGTAGTGATGTGGTCAAAGAAGCAAGATGCTAGGGTGCTGGAGGAGGAAGAGAAAGGGCCATAACTCTGAGGTAGAGCATCTGCTTTGCATGCAGAAGGTCTCAGGTTCGGTTCCTGGCAGTGTCGTGTAGGGACTCAGCTACATTAGTGAAGAAAAAAACGCTTTATATGAGGTATAACACTGTGACACCAGATGGCGCTGTGGAGTCCCATCTTCCACCAACAGGATTTCCCTTTATGAAGTTTACAACACATTTAACTGAATCGCTTTCTTGATGTGTCTAGATCCAGCCTAGGACTGCGAATGTTCCCTATCTGAAATCCTGAAGAGCCATTGCCCATCAGTGCAAAGGATATCAAGCTTGACCAGTGTTTCCCAAACTTGGGTCTCCAGCTGTTTTTGGATGACAACACCCATCATCCCTAGCTAGCAAGACCAGTGGTCAGGGATGATGGGAATTGTAGTCCAAAAGCAGCTGGAGACCCAGGTTTGGGAAACACTGAGCTGGATGCACCCGTGGTCCAGCTTCCTGAGGTTCTTCCTAACAGGAGGAGGTAGTGGTGGTACTTTGTACTGATTAGCCAGTTGGGTTCTTAGATTAGAACAGGCTTCTTAGATCAGACCCAGGATTGTGATAGTCTAGGATTTCATTTCCATGCACAGCTAGTCAAATGTGTTGGGTTGACCTTTGTCTCTCTTGTTTTAGCAATGGACTTCAGCTCAACAAGGTCAGCAAGGAGATCATAGTGTTAAAGACAAGTGTAGCAGCAGCACTGATGGATCAGTTCAAAAGCCAATCTAGTCCAGCATCCTGTTCTTACCATGACCAACCAGTGTGAGAGCCAGTGTGGTGTAGTGGTTAAGAGCAGTAGACTCGTAATCTGGTGAACCGGGTTCGTGTCTCCGCTCCTCCACATGCAGCTGCTGGGTGACCTTGGGCTAGTCACACTTCTCTGAAGTCTCTCAGCCCCACTCACCTCACAGAGTGTTTGTTGTGGGGGAGGAAGGGAAAGGAGAATGTTAGCCGCTTTGAGACTCCCTCGGATAGTGATAAAGCAGGATATCAAATCCAAACTCTTCTTCTTCTTCTTCTTCTTCTTCTTCTTCTTCTTCTTCTTCTTCTTCTTCTTCTTCTTCTTCTTCTTCTTCAACCAGATGTCCATGGGAAGCTCACACCTAGGACATGAGGACAACAGCACTGTCCCCACCTGTGATTCCCAACCAGTGGTGTTCAGAGGCATATTGTCTCTGATACTGGAGGTAGCACGTAACCAACATTATCCTCTGTGAATTTGTCTTGTCCTCTTTTCCAGCTGTCCCCACATCACTGTATATTGCAGTAGTGACTTCCATAGTTTAAGTATGTGCTATCCAAATAAGTACTTCTTTTTGTCTGCTCTAAATCTCCCACTGTGCAGCTTCCTCAACCCCAGCATCTGATATTTTGAGAAGGATTTTGATACTCTCTTTTTCCTTTTGAATCTGTGAATTATATCAGGATATTCATCAAGTGCAAAAGCTGGCAGACAACGAAGCTACAATCCACACATTAGTCCATATCTGGTTAGCTGGTATTGGCATTCAGAAAGGTCCATGCTTTCTGACTCCGCAACTTATGTTTCTGCGACCGTAATTGCCAAAACTGGAGTTGGCATGCTTTCTCAAAGAGTTTTAAGATTTTTTTCTGTTTGAGTTGGGTTTGCGTGGCAGATACTAAACTTATGTTCTGGAATTTAAATGTATGTTAACGTCTCCTCAATTTATACCCATCATTGGTGTTTAATTGGTGTTTAATTGCCTATTATTTAATTTGCCATGCTGAGTCTTGGATGAGATCTGCGGCGGATCTTCTCATAGGATTGCCCCCCACCCCTCCACAGTGGTTGACATAAAACAATATAAAACATACATTAAAAATACTGATAATATCAACTGTTAAGAACAAATCAACATAAAATTTATCAAAATATAAACAAACCACCAGTTTTAAAACAAATATGCAAACATGGAATTCCATACAGGCGGTGAACATTCGTCACACGCAAAATGTTCACTGCCTGTCTTAAAATTCCATGTCGGGGTTTGCTTGCCTAAACAAAGACACTTTGGGCAAGCACTCAAAGCTATATAATGAAGACCCCTGCCTGAGGTCATTGGGCAGGGAGTTCCAGAGATTATGTGCTGCCACACAGAAGGATCACTTCATTGAAAATGAAGCACAATTCAAAGTGTTGGTGCTGAACTTTAAAGCCCTAAATGGCCTCGGCTCAGTATACCTGAAGGAGCATCTCCACTCCCATCGTTCAGCCCGGACACTGAGGTCCAGCCCTGAGGGCCTTCTGGTGGTTCCCTTGCTGCGAGAAGTGGGATTACAGGGAACCAGGCAGAGGGCCTTCTTGGTAGTGGCGCCTACTCCCATCAGACATCAAGGAAATAAACAACTATCTGAATTTTAGAAGACATCTGAAGGCAGTCCTCTTTAGGGAAGTTTTTAATGTTTGATGTTTAATTGTGTTTTTAATATTCTGTTGGGAGCCCCCCAGAGTGGCTGGGAAGACCTAAGCAGGTGGGTGGGATATAAATAATAAAATAAAGACAAACCTTTTCATTTTATAAGGAGAAACCTCCATGTTTTGTATTTCACTTTACCCCAAACTTTTAGACCCAACTTTGCATTCATTTGAATAATTTACATTTTCATTAAAAGAATCTGCTCAAGAATATTTTTCTTAAGTGTGTTTTTTTTATTTTAAAAAAATGCCAACAATTTTTGCCACTTCAGATGACCCGCTGTTACTCCCCAGAGTTTGCGTCTGACTTAAAGATTAATTAAAATAAATATCAAGTGCTCCTGGAATTATTAATAAATTATACAATTTACATGTGATTGTAAGTGGAAGAATGCCTTCCACTTCCCTTTAAAAAGAGCAGCATGGTTCCTGCCAGGAAGGAAGTGTGCTAATTACATTTCCTTCATGAAGCTTCAGCATTCATGACTGAGGAGTTGATCAGAAGATGCAAAGGAGGCAAAATAAGCATTTTAATTTTTTATACTTCAGCAGTTCCTTAATCCCAGAGCTAGCTATTAAAGTACATACCCAAATGCGCCTGGCAAATTTTCTGATGTTTTGATCCTTCTTGATCATTTCCATGTAGAAAAGTTATGGATATTTATGGTCAGATTTCCTCCCGCAAACTTGGCTTGAAAACCACACAGGGCCACTTATTGCACCGGAGATACTCAGGGTATTATTATTGTTTGGAAGGATGGAAGGAAGGAAGGAAGGAAGGAAGGAAGGAAGGAAGGAAGGAAGGAAGAAAGGAAGGGTATGTGTAAGAGGTCTAATACAGGGAATTCCAGCTGCAAGCAAGAGTGGCTGGGGTGATGGGGTGGTGCTATGGGGCTGCCTAGATGGGGTGGAGGTGGGGCAGAGTGGCAGCAAGATCAGGGCTGTGTGGGTGTACTGTAAAGCACCAGCCTTGCAACCACCCTGCTCCACACAACTCTGGCCAGTTCAACTGTACCATCACCAGTGTCCTTGTTCCACCAACGATGGCACCTGGTTGGAGGAGAGGGACACTAGTCTGCTTACTGATGCTGAACAGCACCACCACTGCAGATGGCCAGAGTGGGGAACTGCAGCTATTGAACTGAGAAGGGATCAGGAGTCACAGTGTGTTGCATTCTAGATGCTTTCGGTTACAACCAGGGGCGGAGCAAGGTGGGTGCGGTGGGGGTGGTCTGCACCGGGTGTCACGTCTGAGGGGGTGACAAAATTCTTTGCGGCACTCACTGTCTGTGAGAGACACTGTGGGTTTGGCATGAGCAGGCTTCCCGCTGCCAAAATTGTTTACCCGCCGCCTCCCCCTCAGCTGTAGTGCGGTAGGCAGACCCTTTGGAGGCCAGTTTTGTTTATAGTGGGAGTAGATCGCAGTCTCTTGGGAGTTGGACATGGCTGCTATAAATAAAATAACACAAGCCAAAACACAATCCATCCTGTAGATTTAAGTATCTGTCCACAGTCGCCTACTTGTTATCAAAGGCCCAGAATCCACATTCCTTTGTAAGAAAATATGAAATAAAGTCAAACCATTTTTGCAGGCAAAAAAGAAAAAAATTAATAAATGGGTGGGGACAAGAAACTTTCTGCACTGGGTACCACCTGACCTTGCTATGCCACTGGTTACAACTCCCACCAGTCATGGCCACCACACTTCATTGTGTGCCTCCTCCATGTGAGGTCTTGGAGGGTGGCAACACAGAATGGGCCTTCTCTGTAGTGGCTCCCTGTTTGTGGGATTCCCTCCCCAGGGAGATTCGCCTGGCATCTTCATTATATATTTTTAGGTGCAAGGCGAAAATGTTCCTCTTCAAGCAAGCCTTTGGCTGATTAATATTCTACAGTCTTTGAAATGTGTCTGTGGGAAGAGGAAGTTATTGTTTCGCTGTTCTGTTTTAATTATTTACTTGTTTTTATCCTGTATTTTGTTCCGTGAACCGCCTTGAGATCTTATGATGAAATGCAGTATATTAACCTAATAAATAAAATAATAACAAATAATGGGCAGGAAAGAAGAAGAAAAACCTGTAGTCCGTAGCATCTGGAAGACTCCAGGTTGACTGCCCCTGCCATAGCGTGATGCTGCAATAATACAGTGGTACCTCGGTTTATGAACAGCCCTGTTTACGAAATATTTGGTATAAGAACTCCTCAAAACTGGAAGTAGTGTTCCAGTTAGCGAACTTTACCTTGGTCTACCAACGGAAGCCGAGCAATGGAAGTGCACCAGCAGCGGGAGGCCTCATTAGGGAAAGTGCGCCTCGGTTTAAGAACATTTTGGTTTAAGAACGGACTTCCGGATTAAGTTCATAAACTAAGGTACCACTATATATTATTTTGTTCTCTGTTCAGGGCCAGCCCAAGACCTTTTCACACCTGAGGCAGGCCACAAAATGGCACCAGTGAAGAAGGGGTGAGAGAAGATCTCCATCAGGAACAAGTGGGAGGGGAGAAAGATCAACATTGGGATCTGCTGCCCCTGTGGATCCTGCTGCCTTAGGTGGTTCCCTCACCTTGTCTCATGGGTAGGCCGGCCCTGTTGCTTCTGCTACAAAATAACCTTG